CTATTTTGAATATTTCATTTAAATATTAATATATTCAAATAATAATTACAATCTATACTAATCCAAGTAAACTACCTACAGCCCAACAATTTAAAATAATAAGATTAAGAATTCATACGCAGTTAACATATTATAATACATGAAGTATTACAAAAAAACCTAAAAATCTCAAAAATTGCACAAAATACCCTCAAAAGTTTAACTTACACAAAATACTCTGATTTTCTAAAACTTAAAATAAAAAATATGAAAGCTAGAAATTAACAATTGCTCCCGAAGAATTAAAAATTTGCAACATACACCCTCAACATTTTCAAAAAATTGTAGAAATAATCTCAAAAGTTTAAATTATAAAAAAAGCACCATTAATTTCTAAAACTTTAAAACTTACAAATAACATAGATGGATTTAAGTAATTACTATCACGCACTTGAAAATTTAAGATTTGTAAAAAATAACCTCAAAGTTACAGAAATTGTAAAAACTCCCTCAAAAACTAAAAAACGCAAAAAAACCCTAAAATTTTAAAATGCATAGCCAATACACATCAATCTAAAATTATAAGCAAACCATTAAAAATTTTTATAAAAAATAACCAAAATTTTTAATAATTGTAAAAATCACCCTTAAAATTTTAGAGTTGCAAGAAATATGAAACATGAAAATTTATAAGCACCCAATTTAAAATTTAAAATTTTTAAAAAGCACTATCAAAGTTTTTAAATTACAAAACACACTCTCAAAAGTTCAAAATCACAAAAAAGACTAAAAATTCTAAACTTGGCAAAGAAAAGAGCAATTTTTTTATATTCTTTTATTAAATTATATAAACTTAACTTTTAATTTAAATTTTACTATCCCTTTTCAAAATCTAAAAATATTCTAAGTTGATACTTGTGAAAAATCACAATAATAATAGATTAAAAACATCCAGTTAAAAATTAAAATTTTTAAAAATATATAACAGATTAAAAATTAATGTCACTGTATAAATTAAAGGAACTGCAAATGATTTTACTAATAACATTAATTGATAGAGGACTAAATTACAAAAATTAATAAAAGGCTATAATATAATAGCTTAACATTAATATATTATAATATATAAGCATTGATCTCTGATGTTAATAATATTTATGTGGTAAAAAATATAAGGAATTATGTATGAAGAAACTATCAGAAAGTTCAGAGGTATCCTTCAAAAGAATCAAATTATCTTCATTAAAATGGAGAAGTGAAGGAATAAACCCGAAATTCGGAAACATTTTTGAATTACTTGAATCTACATAGGCAAAATACATATTCATCAAAGAAGCACTGACTGAGTTCCTCTTAAAGAACATATTAAACAACTTTATCCCAATCAAAGAAGCATTCTCCATGAAAGATACAAGAATTATTACTAAGTATTTATAAATTTTCATAATTTATTCTTTAAATATTAAAGGAATCATAAATTTAATATAAAATTGTATATAAATAAATTTGCAATAGAAACTAAAGTGAAACCATTGATCAACTATGTTGCAAGATATAATAAGCTAGATAAAAGGAGGGGCATCACTATAATGGACAAAAGGTATACATATGATACTTATTTACAATAGCATAAATAAAAAAAATTAAAATCGATCTTTTTCTTTTTCCTATACAGTTGCATGACTCTACATATAATTTTATTTGGGGATATGACTATCAATGAAAGATCAATTCTTGAAGACATGATTAAAGATAACTATGTAATAACACTATCAAATTTTGAGATCTTTAAATATGTAGGTAACATATTTCATTACTAAAATTCTTATTAAAGGTCATTAACATAAAATCCAGCTTATATCTATCTCTAATTTATAGGGGAGATATGTATGTCATCATAAATTGCATCAACAATATATATCAACCCAAAGATACAAGATACTGAAGAAATACGAAAGTGGTAAGTAAACCAAGTAAACATCCATATAACACAATAAAAAATATTACATTTTAAAGCTAATATGCAGAGGTCTGTAGGCATCAAAAATTACCTATAAATTATCGTACACAGTTCGAGATGAAGAGAAGGCGATAAAAGTTATCATTTGAGTCAAAGAGGATCATCCAATGCCAATGACTGACTAAGGAATGTACAAAAAATATAGAACGACGAAAACAAGAGGACATAATATAATTTTCGAGACAAAGAAGTTGTCTCGGAAACTATAAGATAGCACATAGTTTCTGAGACAAGGAATTTGTCTCGGAAGCTATGAGGCAACACATAGTTTCTGAGACACGAAAACTGTCTTGGAAACTATGTGACAGGGTCACGTTGTTTTGTGATGGTTTTTTCGAGATTTGAGCAATCCACGTGGCTTCATAACTGCTGGGTATCATCCATAAACATGGCGAGGCAGTTACAAACTAAAAAATCGCACATAACTACAGAAATCATGGTATTTAACAAAATAGGTGACAGTTACAAAACTACCTAGGAGGCTGGGACAATACACTATTTCTGAGACACGGAATTTGTCTCGGAAACAAGGGTTGTCAGTTCAGATTTGTTTCAACTTTCTATCTTCAGTAACGGCTCCTAAAAGCTATAAATACTTCCCTAGCACCCATATGCATGAGGACTAAGGAAATTCTAGGGAGGGACTTGAGCTTTTTGGCGAATTTTGAGCAAGAGAGAGAGAGAGAGAGAGAGTCTTCATTGTTTTCAAGCATCCTCAAGAGCCTTTGACGTTTCCTCGAGATCTAAGCTTTGACTTGGTCTTGAGAAGAGTGTTTTATCTCACCTTATTAAGATATCTACTTCTGTCCTTGTTTCTAAAATGAAACATCGACTCCAAGTCTTCTTCGGATCAATCTAGATCTGTGATTCGGTCGTCCACGGGCTAACGCATCCCTAACATAGGTCCACATAAGCAGCGAACGATAAACGTTCCTGCGTGTGTTTCTAGAGAGCACTCTTAATCTTGTTTTATTGTAAAGAGAAGTTTTACAAAGCATAAAGTTCACTCTTTTATTTTCATTGTAATCGATAAACGTTTGTAATGGATTCTGTAATAAAATTTGTTCCCGATGCAAACAAGGTCATTCAGAAAAAGCTGCCAAGATAAAAATATCTCCATTAATGTTCTTTATATATAACACAAATTTAAATTACTAATATATGTAATCATCACAACATTCGAATGATGTATGATCTTAAAAAACATACTCTAAAATTCACATAATAAACCTAAAAGTAGCTTGCCAATATACAAACATGCTATTACACCTATAATGCAAAAATAATTGCAATTTATAATAGAGTTGAGTCGTGGTTCTACACTTGTAAAGGCTGCAATAAAAAGGAGCATAGATATGTTAATAAGATTGTCTAAATTATAAATACCATAGAATCACATATGACGTAGTATGAAGATTAAGTAATATCTCTTCTTCATGAAATAAATATATCAAAATTAAATATTAACATTATTATCTAAGGCAAATTGACAATAAGAAATACAGTTATTTAGCTCAGGTCCTTGTGAAAAAACGACATGGACAGAGCAAACTTAACATTGTTTGATATAACAAAAGTTCTTATTGGATGCACAACAGAAGAATTTATTGTAAAAAAAATAGGAGGTAACTACTAAAACTTATTTAAGTAATAAATTAGGAAAACAAAAATTTCATATATATGAACTAAACATTTATTCTCATTGAAATAAAATAATAATTAAATTTTGAAGGAATAAAAGATAAAGATACTACTCTAGAATTACCCAGGGAAAAGATAAATGTGTAAAAGATTGATTTTGACTCAATAAAAAATAAAACAAAAGGAATAAACCATTTTTTTCTAAATATTTTATAGAATAGTTTATTTTTTGAGTAAAATTAAGAATCTTTAAAATGGATTTTCATGAACTTTCTTTTTATAAATTTTATATGCTTTTGTGGATGTTTTTATCATATAAAAGTACTAGTTTGCACCCCGTGCAAAGTACGACCCCCTATTTTTTAAGCACTGCATTTTAAACTTGCATCCCTCTAAGTTTTAATACATTTGATTTAATTATTATATGCTTAAAATTAGAAATCATATTTACTCCTCTATGCTTAAAGAATGATTTAATTTTTAATATATTTAATTTAAAAATCATATATACTCCTCTATACTTAAAGAAATATCCAAGTTTTAATATATTTGATTTGCTTTACTATTTATATATTGTATCATAAATAGTAACTTCAAGTATGAAGGAGCAGAATCGATTTACTGCTTATGCTATATTAAAATACTATAGCATGGGTAGTACCTTGCGCGGTTTACTGTTCATGCTACAGTATTTACTGTTCGTGTTACAGTATTTACTGTTCGTGTTACAGTATTTACTGTAGAACGATAAATTCTTTGGATTCTCCTTTAAGTATAGAGGAGTTGATACGAAAGTATACTAGAGTTAGTATTAATCTTTAGTTTATGGTTTTTTATGAAGTCTATCAATGATTAAGACCAAATTTCATATTCTCTTTAGTTTCGTTCTAGCGCACTTTTAATCAAATATCTTGGCTTATTGACTTTAATTATTCATCTTCTTTTTATAACACTATTTTTTAAGTACTTTTCACTTTCACAATACTATATTTTCTCAAGTTAAGCTTAGTTTCATGTCGGTCCAAATAACAGGAAAATTCAAATTGGCTTTCGATTACATTTACTTCCTATCAATTCAATTATCAACATTTAAATTTAAATTCGTTGTAGCCCATTCAAACTAACATTAAATAAAATAAATAATCACAATAAAAAAGTTTCGACACATGAACGAGGAAAAACTATCAAAGCGAAAACGAGAAACAAATTTTAGCAAGAAAATAAATCAAGAATACTTAATCATGGATATTTAATCACTAACCAAGTTCACGTGACCAACCTTACCGGTGGGGCCCACTCCCACTTAAATAGAGTGCGTCTCTAACGGCTATTTCCTTCCTTCATCACCGCTTCCATTTGAAAACAAAATCGTCTTTATTCCGATCCTCTCTCATCAGAGAAAAAACTCAAAAAAAACTTTTCCCGACCCCCTCTCTTGTCCTTCAATTAATCTCCTGTCCAAAATCTCTCTCCTCCTAGATCGGTATCATCTCTAAACCCCCCACCCCTTCTCTTCTCCCTCTAGGGTTTAGGGTTTTGACCTTAATTTCTTTTCCTCTTTAATTCTAGGGTTTCCGTTGCAGAATCGATGGATATCTCCAAGGGTACCGACGATTACATTAAAGAATCGATCGAGCAGTCATTAGGCCTCCCCGTATCATCCAGAACCCTGGAACTGAAGCTTCTCGCTTCCGAGGACGACCGCCATCGCCTCCAAGATCAGATATTTCTCTTGCATGATCGCCTCAAGGAGTCCCAGAAGCGCGTCGATCAATATAGGGTATGTGAAAAACTACCCTTTGTGCGTAATTTTTTTTATTTCCGCTGTAGATTTCTATATGGTTTTGGGTTGACTGTTGGTTGGTGGATTAGGCGGAGGCGAGCATGAACGCGCAGGGGTTGAGGAAGTGCGTGGAGGAGAAGGAGGAGATTGCTGGGGTGTACGAGAAGCTGGAGGTCCATTGTGCGAAGCTCGAGAAGGAGTGCATGCTTTACGAGAGGGATTTCGAGAGGATTATGGAGTCGTGTGATGAGTTGGGGAAGGAGAATGAGGAGCTTAGGGAGAGACTGCAGGATGAGTCCTCGGTAAGTATTGTTGTTCTTCATCATTCCTAAGGTTTCTTGAATTTGGGTAGTAAGTATGGGACACTGCTGACATTAATCATCTGATTGCACACTTTTTTAAAAAGAAATTGTGGTGTTGTTTGCACTTAAATTATCCAAGTTTAGACAATTTTAACTCGTGATTGATACCCTGAAGTATTTACCCCGTTAACTTATGGCTAACATGTCAGAAGTGCCCTCCTTTCTTGCAGTTTACCGGTTCCTTTGGTTAGATACAGGGTTTTTGCTGAAATCTGAAGGCTTTTCTTAAAATTTAGGATTTATACTGGAAATTAGTGGTTTTGTTTAATTTAGAGCTCAGCGGAAAGTTTGACTCATTTATCTTTGGTAAAGTAAAGAATTGGTTTGCTTCTTTTAATTTTCGGCGGGGTTCGTTCTGGGTTAATTCAATGAGTTTAGTGTTGAAAAAACTAGAAGAAGAAAGAGATGGAGGGGATTTCTTTTCATTTCGGGGGTAAAACCATCAAAAAAAAAATTATTCCATGGCATGTTTTAAAAGAATATGGTAACTATGAATAAACAGGGGCATTAAAATTCTGTTCGGGGGTGGAACTTGGGTATAACTTTAGGGTATCAAAAGTTTAAAAAAATCATACAATAATAAGCTTTAGGGTATTTGTGTGCAAATAACCCTTACCTGTGTAAGTTTTTATCCTGCTGATAGTGCAAGAGTAATCTTCTTGAATTTGAAGCTAGTTGCGGACATGAGAATTATGTCGAGTCTTTTAGTTCTTGAGGAACAATAATAAGAAAGCTCGCCCCTAAAACAGCCTGTTAGAAGGAGTGAAACCAAATCTATATAAACCCACATCAAGCTACTTATATAATAAATTAGGAACCTTAATACCACAACAATTCTGCAGACCCGCTTCTGGACAGGCTGGCTTTAGATGAGTCTAGACCTGATTGAACACTGCAGGGTCATCAGTTTGGCTTTGTACTAGCAGCGCTCTCTAGCAAACAATACAATGCTGACATCACTGCCTACTGCATGATTAGGGCTAGGTCTAACACCATTTTGTTAGACCCCGAAAGCTAAGTGTGAGAGGGTAGAAATCTAATTCTATAAATCCATATCAAACTTTTGATGTCATCAATGTGGTTTCCTAGCATAATCTGGATAGCTAGCTATATATGTTGGTCGCAGTTTCCCCTTTTGGTGCTGTCAGAGATCTTCTGTTGCTTCGGATGTCATTTTAGATGATTGCATTTTGTTAGCTTTCTTGTCCAGGTTTTTTAGGGGACATCACTTTGTTTTGGATGTAAGGTCATTTTGCTAAGTGTGAGAGGAAGGGAATTTAAATATCTATGAACCAATATCAAATTATTGATGTCATCATGTGAGACTTAATTGGCAAGCTAAGAAAATTACCTATGTGGGCAGGCTGCAATTGATTAAAACAGTTTTATTTGATGTGCAAGCATACCGGTCTAGTAACTTTGTACAACCAAAATCAGTCTTCAACAGTACAAGCGTACTGGTCTAGTAACTTTGTACAAACAAAATCAGTCTTCAAGAGTTGATGAAATTTGTAGAAGGTTTTTATTTGGGAAGTTCACATGAAACCAATACAGTCTCTCTGGTAGCTTGGGATGTTTTCTGCAATGATAAGAAGCATGGTGGTTTGGGGGTTCATTCCTCAGTCTATTGGAGTCTTGCAACAGCTTGTAAAATGTTGTGGGCAATTCATTTGAGGAAAGAATTATTTAAATGGATCCATGGTAATTACTTAAGAATATATGATATTTGGGTTGTTCAGGGCCTATCATGATATTATTCCGGCAAGGCAGAGTGTTCAGTGTTATAATACTATATGAGATGACTGATAAAATGCGACAATGGAGTTCAGGGGGAAAATTCATCATATCCAGGTCCTATCATGATATTATTCTTGCAAGGCAGAGCGTTCAGTGGTATAATACTTTATGGGTAAGTTTAACATACCAATACACTATTTTATACTAGGTTAATTGCTCAGGAAAGATTGCTGGCACAAGAAAGATTTTGTAAAATAGGATATTGCGAGATAATTCCTGTCATAGCATTGTCTAATGCGTCGAACATCGATAACATCTGTGTTCTTTGATTGTGTTTTCTCGGCTGAAGAGTGGAATCACATTATGTGTTGGATTGGATTCAGGATGAGGAGTTGTAGGTGGAATTTATTGTTTCCCTCATTTACTCAAAAGGATGCCCAGGAAGAACTACGCTGCTTGTCAGAAGGTTGAATTTATCTGCCTTTGCTATGGAGTTTGGCTGGAGAGGAATGTTAGGCTTCAAACAAATAGAGTTTCTACTCTAGAGATGGTCATCAAGAGAATCAAGTTTTCAGTGCTTACAGTTTTGTACAGGAATGCTATTCCCCCTAAGTTATGGAATGAGTAGAGGGCAATGTTTTAAATGTCGGATGTCGGGTTCATGTCGGATGGCTGAAATCCATGTCGGGTAGCGGAAATCGGGGATATATCGGGGGACATTGACTAAATATTAGATTTCTATATCGGGTAGTACGCATATGTATAATATCGTGTCCTAAATGTAATCTAAGTATTCATAAATTCAATATAAGCATACTTTATAGATTCTATAGACTAAACATATAAAAAAGTAAATAATATATGGATTTAGGTTCATAAATTCTTTCTATCGGGTTCATAAGAAACCCTTAAACATGAGAACAGGTCAAAAGAGTTTGAGTATTTATCACTAAACCCAAACCCCATAACAAAATACAGATCTTAAAAAAAGTACCATATCGGTCGATTTTTCAAAGCTAAAAAATAGGCCGATATGACCCTGATATTTTCGATTTGACCCTGAAAACCGACATACGAGTTGAAAACGTCTATGTCGTGTCGGTCAAGCTCTCAAACCGATATGTCGACCGACATGTCGGACATGTCGGGCGACATTTAAAACCTTGGTAGAGGTATTATGATGAGTGAGAGTTTTATTGATCTTGTCTAGCAAATGGCATTTACTTAGTTATAGATTGAGTTATATTGATCAATTTATAAAGAGATCCTAACATAATCTTGAATAGCTAACTACATATGTTGTTTGAGTTTCCTCTTTTTGTTCCTAATTAGTGATTTACTGTTACTACGGATGTTATTGCAATTGTTCTATATGATTAAATTTTGTTAGCTTTCTTGTCCAGGTTTTTAGGCAGCGTCACTTTGTTTGTGGATGTATGGTTATTTTGCTAGATTTCACCATTGTTTATAATAGAGAAAAACTAGAAAGAGGGAGGTTATCCTACCATCGTTTTGATAGGATTTTAATATCTTCATCCATTTTTATTCTCTTTCTCTGACTAATTTCTTCTTCATTCTGTACATATATCATACTCCCTTTAAAAGATAATATATGAAGTATTGCAAAAAACCCAAAAAGTTTCATAAATTACACAAAATACCCTTAAAAGTTTAAAATTACATGAAACATCCTGACATTTCAAGACTTAAAACAAAAATCATGAACTCTAGAAATTAACAACAACCTCCAAAGAATTTAAAATTTGCAATTAACACCTCAACTTTTCAAAAATTATAAAAATGTCTTCAAAAGTTTAAATAATAAAAAAGCATCCTAAAATTTTAAAATTTTAAAATTTTAGAACTTGCAAACAATAAAGATGAATTTAAGGGATTACCATCAGAAACATAAAAATTTAAAATTAAAAAAATAACCTCAAAGTTATAAAAATTACAGAAAACTCCTTCAAAAATTTTAATCACAAAAAATGAAATTTTAAAACTTATAACCAGTACATATCAAATCTGAGAATTATTAGTAGACTGCTAAAAATTTAAATTTTACAATAAACAACCTAAAGTTTCAATAATTACAAAATACACCCTCAAAATTTCAGAGTTGTAATAAATATCCTGACATTTAAAAACTTACCATCAACACATGAAACATGTAAATTACAAGTACCCAACTTAGAATTTAAAATTTAAAAAAAACACTTAAAGTTTTTAAAATTTGCAAAACACACCCTTAAAAATTCAAAATCATGAAAAGACTAAAATTTCAAATCTAAGCAAGGAAAAGAGTAGTTGTTTGATATTCTTTTATTAAGATATATAAATTTAACTTCCAATTTAAGATTTACTATTCTTTTTCAACATCTAAAAGAAGTCTAATTTTATTGAAAAAGATAAAGGTGTAGAAGGATTAATGTTAGCTCAATAAAAAATAAAATAAGAAGGAATGAAAGACACTGTTTTCTGAATATTTATAGAATAGTTTATTTGTTTGAGTAAATTAGGGATCTTTAGAAAGGATATTCATGAACTTTTTTTAGTATTTTATATGTTTATGTGGATGCTTTCATCATATAAAAGTGTACTAGAGTTAGCATTAATCTTAAGTTTATGATTTTTTAAAGTCTATAAATGATTAAGAACAAACTTCATATTCTTTTTTATGTTGTTTTAGCCTACTTTTAACCAATCATCTTGTCTTATTAGCTTTAATTATTTATCTTTTTTTATAACGCTATTTTTAAGTGTTTTTCACTTTCACGACACTATATTTTCTCAGGTCAAGATTGGTTTCATGTCTGTCCAAATAACATGATAATTCAAATTGACTTCAGATTAGATTTGTTTTCTATCAATTTAATTATCAACATGAAAATTTAAATTGGATGTAGCTCATTTAAACGAACATTAAAGAAAATAAATAATCACAATGCTAAAATTTAGAGATATAAATGAGCAAAAACCATCAAAATAGAACCGAGAAACAACATTTAGTAAGAAAATAAATCAAATATACTAAATCATATTATTTAACCAAGTGTATTGCACGTGTATAAAATCTAGTATGATGTATATGCTCCAGTTTGATGTGGAGTGTTAGAGAATATACAAAACAGAACGTCTTTATGTGCAGAAGTGTGTCATTATCATATTATAAAGAGTGATTAGATCCTAGGTTGTGTATCTCATTCATGTTCTTCAAATTCTTCTATCACTAACACAGGAAAGGGAGTCTCTTTGGTGCATTTAAAATAAGTACCATCATGTTAGCCATATTTAATAAATTTGGATTGAGGAATATATGCAGCATTTTAAAGGTGAAGTTTTGCTTCACATTGTCAATTGTGCTGTTAGAGATTACTATTGTCTGTTGTAAATACTTTTTAAAATAATAATTCTCAAAAAAAGAAAACATATATGATCTATTGATCTATGATTCCGTCGTGTCAGCATTTCAGGATTCCATACTATGATTCTGACAAATGATTCATTTTTATGGTTATCATGGTTTATTTTGGAACAAGATAATTATAATCTGCATCAAGTTATATCAGACGACTTTTACCGAAGTCCAAAATCCAAATATTGTGCTTTAATTTTCTCTTCATGTTCAATATTTCCAAATATATTTTCTCAATATATTTCCTGGAATGATTTTTTGGGGTCATGTCTACTTGTGTCGTTAGACTTGTATCTGATTTTCTATGTACACAACTAACACAAATAAACATGCTGCATATTGAAATAAACATATGTTTACATACTGTTGTGTGTGTATATATATCAACCATTATTTTAAATGAAAACTGGATCATCGGATTTATAGAATATGAACAAACTTTTGTTTGTTCAAACAATAAATCCCGTTATTTTTTGTAAATGGGTAACTGGTCATTGGAACACCATAAAGGAGGCATAATGATGAAAAGTTAGGAATGTGAGTGATTGTATGTAGTAGGATAGCGCTGGGGAACAAGGTGAGGACTATGTCGGCCAACATTTTCTTTGTCGATTGTTTTCATAATTTTTGCACTTTAACCGCTGGATAATTTTTCAGTTAGCCCGTTGCCTGCTTATTATGTTTATCTGAGTATTGCCAACTTCTGTTTCTGGAGCTGTGGCCTTGCTTGCGTCTTTCATTTGTCAAATTTCTGTTATATGCATATCTGAAGCTATTACTGTAACTTCTATAAGGTGTGGTATTGCTTTGCAATTCGTTCAACAAAATAGGAATTTCATAAGCCCTTGACAGATTTTTCCCATTTTTTCTGTTACTGTGTTCTTGGTCAGAATTACTAGTTTCTGTTTTTTTTTACTGCATTCTTCTTTTTTTCCCATCTGATTAAACCTTGAGCATCTTTCTACTGCAAACTCTTCAGATCACAGTATTAGCTGCTGAAGTTGAATCCTTACGGAAGGACAAAGAACACCTGAGAATTAACCTTCTACGAGCTGAAGAGGAGGTAGGAAAACACTTAACACTCTTTTCTTTTTCCTTGATCCAGTTATTGTAATCTCATTCCTTAAAATATTTTCCTTATCAAGGTAAAGGTATTGTTCGAAGAGAATAGATTGCTGGATGAAGAGAATAAGAGACTCACGAGGCAGTTACATAGAGAACGACGTGTCCAGGGATCCGAAAGCAGACCCTCATCCTGCAAACCCTCAGCAGGTGCTTCTGCTAAGGTGAGTAACCATCCACAAGAACTATTGGTTAATTGCATATGCAACCCCCCAGGTTTAGCTTCACATATTCTTTATTTGCATATACACCCCATGGCAACGGTTACAATGCTGGTTTTCTTTAACTCCCATAAGAATCATGTGTGGATTTTGTTGAGAGGCCTTAACCTGCCATGTGATCCTGACAGAAGTTTAATGCATATGCATCCCCTATACTATAACGGTCTAGCCACACTGTTCTATTTTATTTGCACATACTCCCCATAGTCACTGTGACAATGCTAATTTTTCATTCTCATGTGAGAACGTTCTTGAGAGATGTCTAGCTCTTACGACCAAATGATCCTTAAAGATGGTTGAAGACTAACAGAAAAGTAACGACATCACTGTAGCTAGGTGGTGATATTGGGATGATAGGTAACTACGCCCCTTATAATGCAGGGCGGTGTATCTGCAACTAACCCAAATTTACAATTAACTACGATCAAAAGAAAACTTGTTTTAAGTCGATATTTCAATTAACAATTACTGTTTTCATCTGTCTTTCGTTTTTGAGATATTAGCTTCAAGCAATGATCATTTTTTCGCCACATATTCAGGGTAAGCGAAAGTCAAGCTTGAAAGAAGGAAGCCCAACAGGGAAGGTGATTGATTTTGACGGCTCTGAGTCACCGAGACCGCCTCTGTCACCGCTGCATCAGAATTCTCATGATTCTAGCAAAATGCATAAGAAGTAGTTCTTTGTCGCGTGCTGATGCCTCCTAGTCATCAGAAGGTCCTTTGCTGATACACCAAAAGCTTCTAACTTGTCTCTATCTGATATCTTTAGCAAATTCAAAAAGCGTTTTCCCAAGGATTCTTAGAATTTTTGTGCTCAGCTGTTCAAACTGATATCATTTTCTTGTTGATGTTGTATTTATAGAAACTGATGGAAATGAGTATGGGCATCTCTCTTCTTGGGAGCCTTGTTTTGTGAAGTAACACATGTCAATTGTTAATATTGTTTTGTCTATGTATACAAGCAAAAGCAAGAACTGAACAGTGGCGCTCGCTTCATATCCCTGCATGTATCAGTTCATAAAATTAGCTCTGAATTCAGAATCTGCTTAAAAGTTCACAGAACTAACTTTAAACTGGAAATATATGAGTTTCAGACGCTTGATGAGTTTTGTAAGTTTCAGGCGCTAAAGTGGAAGTTGAGGTGTCTATGTGACAGAGAAAGATGTCTTTAATTTTTTTGTTTAGCTGTATTTTTTTGGTGAGAGCTCGAGTTGCATATGGAGCATATTCCTTTATTTCCCTATGTTCTCAGATGCAGAGAGGAACAGGTTTTGTGTAGACTCCGCATGATAAAAATAAAAATAAAAATACAATATAACTCATGTAAAAATTATGTCTCTTCTTTTCATTTCTCACGGTAGTCGTATATCCAACATGAGACACATGAACAATCAATGTTACTTATTGGTCCAAAGTCACAAGTTCGTAAAGATTCTCTGTGCAATCAAGGGTGTAAAGGGTTCACAGCAGTCGGAACCTTAAAAATCTCGCGAGAAAATCGTAAACAACTATAGGGTACTCCATTCCCAAATGGGATTCAGAAGCCTTTGCAACAGTCCATGCTAAACAGAACCTCTTGGTACAAGAATCAATCTCTTTTAACACAGAATTCACTCTTGCCACCGAAACAAAATGATACAACGCGCGACACCACTAAGCTCCAAATCCAAATAAGAACGGATGGATTGAAACATGCACTTGTTATCTGAATACGATCGGTGACCAAGAGATCAAAATTACTACTTATCACAGTACAAATCAAACTATAACCGACTGTAAAGTAGAGATCAAAATTACTACTTACATAAATATCACAGTATAAATCAAACTATAACCGACTATAAAGTTACACCGTTATCTTCAATCGTCGATGAACAAAAGTGATAAGTATGAGATCTTATTTAAAGAATGGTATTAAAAATAACCATGCATGTAAAATTGCAAACATGCTGGTCGAGCATTATTCACTTTAATTCATGGTCATGCAGCAGCAGACTGTTTATCATCATGATCATCAAGATTCAATGCATGCAATAGCTTTGGCCATGATTCTGGGATCCCTCCTGGAAGTTCAAACTCCAAAAGCTTCCCTTGCTTGCGGTAGAAATCCTCAACAGGCTGGCTCTGCAGGAGGAAAAAATAACACTCATGAGTATAGTAGAGAAATGACGAGCTAAAGTTTGATTGTTTGATAAACAAAGAATTAAGATTTCCCATTGAATATTGGATTAATTGCACAAAGACACACCTGGAAGTTCGCGTTTTGAAACTTATTAAACATTCGAATTTGACAAATTGATACCCCCTTTTTTTGGTGACGATTTTTAACTGGGTGAAATTTTGGATATCCCCTTGGTTAAATTAATTGGTCTCTTTGAGGGTAAAAGAGTCAAAAAGATCTCATCCATGGGGTTTATCTGCCAAAATCAAGCTATAGAGATAATAGGTTCCAAAGTGTGATACTTTAGGGAGTCCATGTGCAATTAATTCTTTGATTATACTGCTTCTAAATTACATGAAGATGCACATAAGACACTTTGTAGCTTTGTTTTTTCATTTATTTCGCAGTGGCGTCCAGAAGATCCCAGCAATCATTTGCTCATCTACACATCAAGCTAGTAAAGATACAGTCACCATTGATATGTCATAATCCAAAAAGCATATTAGACCAACAGGAAACCCCTTTTTATAGCTCACCCCTAGTATTTAGACCCAAAATCCTATGAATATTTGCACAATATTCCGAAGCCTCAGCTTACCCTCAACAAATTGTGTCCCCATGTAAGCCCGTATCACCGCTACTCACATCGAGGCCATCACATCGAGGCCATTAACAAAAAATGTAATATAGATTATAGCCTACAAAAGTTGTGAATTTTAAAATACACTTAAGTAATTGTCATTGGTCAAAATCAACAAAAAATGAAAAAAAAAATCATCGATTATAACCCATGAAAATCATGTAGTTTGAAGTACACATAACAAATTGTTATTGGATCGAGATAAACGGCAATGGAAAAAATTCGGTGATAAAGCCATGAAAATCATGAATTTTGAAGCACAGATACTTATTTGTTATTGAGTTGAAAAGAGCGAAAAATGTAATTAAAAAATCATCGGTTCTAACTCATGAAAATCGCAAAATTTGAAGTATGCCTAATAAATTTCCACTGCATCAAACCAAATGAAAAAGGGCAAAAGTCATAGGTTATCTAGCCCATGAAAATCGTGAATTTTGAAGTACCCATACTTATTTGTCCTTAGATCAAAATGAAAGAATCTCGACAAAAACTTCGATTATAACCCATGAAAATCGCAAATTTTGAAGGAAGATACTGTAATAGCAATTGGCTCGAAAAAAAAATTGGACAAAATTCGTGAGTAATAACCCATGAATATTTTCAAGTACACAACCTTAATTGACATTGAGTCAATATGAACAATAATGGATAACAACCATGGGAATATAGCTAATGAGAATAAAAAATTTTGATGAAATGAAAACTAAATTAATATTCGGTCAAAATGGACTAAATAGACAAAAATTGTGAGTTCTAACACATAAACTTCAATAATTTTTAAGATGCACCATTAATTTTCATTGGGTCGAAATGAACAATAATGAAATTTTTTGTGTTATTAGTTAAAATGAAAAATTGAAGCATGAATAAATTAATTGCTATTACTTAAAATGAACAAACATTTAAAAAATCATAGGTTCAACATATGTAATAGTGATTACTTAAATATGCATAATTAATTATCACTTGTCGGAATAAATGAATATTGACAAATTGTGGGTTATAGCCAATGAAATTTACGAATTTTAAAGTATGCCTAATTACTAGCCAATGGGTTGAAATGAACGAAAATAGAAAAAAAAATCATAAACTATATCCCATGAAAATCATGACTTTTAAAGTACACATGTTGAAATGAACAAAAATGGACGAGAATCGTGCATAATAAACCCATAAAAATTATGAATTTTTAAGTACAACTAATTAATTACAATTTGGTCGAAATAGACGAAAAGGGCGAAATTCATGGGTTATAACCCACGAAAATTATGAATTTTGAAGTATGGAAACTTATTTTCCATTGGGTGAAATGAACGAAAATGATGAAAAATCATGGGCTACATAAGCCCATGAAAATTTCAAAATTTGAAGTACACTAATTTAATTGTCATTGGTCAAAACAGACAAAAATGAAAAAAAATAACATGGATTGTATGGCTCATGAAAATCGTGAATTTTGAAACATACATACTTATTTGCCCTTAAGTCGAAATGAGAGAAAATAGAAGAAAAAGTCTCGGATTTTAACCCCTCAAAATAGCAAATTCTGAAGACAAAAAACTTAATTACAATTGGATAAGATAGAACAAAATTGGAAAAAAAAAAATCTTGAGTCTGTTATATAGTCAATGGGAACAATAATAAAAAAATCGCGAGTTTATAGGCAAATAAAATCGTGAATTTTGATGAATGAAAACTAAATTAGTGTTGCGTCAAAATGGACTAAAATAGACAAAAATTGTGAGTTCTAACGAATAAAAATCATGAACTTTTAAGAGGTCGAATTGAAGAATAATGGAAAAATTTTGTAGTATAGCCCATGAAAATCGTGAATTTTGAAGTATGCATAACTAATTTCCATCAAAATAAAATGAACAAAAATTAACAAAAATCTAGGTTCTAGCCTATGAAAATAGTGATCAAATTACCCATAAATAATTGCCACTTGGTCAAATTGAACGATAATTGACTAAAATTGTAGACTATTAGCACATGAAAAATGTAAATTTTGAAGTACATCTAATTAATCGTCATCGGCTTGAAATAAACGAAAATGAAAATTTTCATGATTATAATCCATGAAAATCACAAATTTTAGAATAAGCATTAATATTATCATTGGGTCAAAATGAACAACAATATGAAAATTTTGTAGATCATGGAAACCAAAAATTTTGAAGTACGCATAATAAATTGTCACTTGGTGAAATGAAGGGCGAAAATCATAGGTTAGTCCATGAACATTGTGAATTTTGAAGTACGCCTAATTAAATGTCATTAGGTCAAAATAGACGAAAATGAGAATTCATGAATCATAGCCCATGAAAATCGTGAATTCTGAAACACATATACTTATTAGCTATCGGGTTATAACGAACCAAAAATGACAAAAATCCTAGATTATGACCTATGAAAGTTGTAACGTTTAAAGTAAGCCTAATTAAGTGGCACTTGGCCAAAACAAATGAAAATGGAAAAAAAATAACATGGATTATATCCATAAAATCCTAAATTTTAAAGCTCACATACTTATTTGCCCTTAGGTAGAAATGAACAAAATTGACAAAATCTTGGATTTAAGCCCATGAAATCCATGAATTTTGAAGAAAGAAAACTTAATTGCAATTGGCCCGAAAAAATGAAAACTAGACAAAAATCGTGAGTAATAATCCATGAAAATAAAAAAATTTGAAGTACACATCATTAATTGTCATTGAGTCGATATGAACAATAATAGACAAAAAACATGGGTTATAGCTAATGAAAATTGTGAATTTTGATGATGAAAACTAAACTGATATTGAGTAAACATGGACTAAAATAGACAAAAATTGTGAGTTCTAACCTATAAAACTTAGGAATTTTTAAGATGCATAATTATCCATTGAGTCGAAATGAAGAATGGAAAATTCACGCATTATAGCTCATGACAATCACAAATTTTGAAGTGCGCATAATTAATTGACATTAAGTTAAAATGAACAAAAATTGCAGAAATCATCAATTCCAACCGATGATAATATGATAAGTCTCTATTGAAGTACGCATAATTAATTGTCACTTGGTCTATATGAATGAAAATTGACAAAAGTTGTGGATTATAGTCTATGAAAATTATGAATTTTGAAGTACACATAATTAATTATCATTGGGTCAAAATGAACGACAATGAAAGAAATTCGTTGGTGCCCATGAAAATCACGAATTTTAAAGTACACATTTAATTGTCATTAGGCAGAAACGAACTAAAATGGACGAAAACCTTGAGTTATAGCCCGTGAAAATTGTGAGAAGTACGCTTAATTAATTGTCATTGGGTCAAAATGGGTCAAATTCGTGGCTTAGAGTCCACGAAAATTGTGAATTTTGAAGCACATATACTTATTTGCCATAGGATTGAAGTGAACAAAAAATGACAACAATCATAGGTTATAGCCCATTAAAATTTAAAAATTTGAAGTACACTAATTGGATTGCATGGGGTCAAAACAAATGAAAATGGAAAGAAATCATGGTTCTAACCAATAAAAATCGGGAATTTTGAAGTACACATTTATTTTTCCTTGGGGTCAAAATGAAAGAAAATTGACAAAATCTTGAATTATAACCCATGAAAACCACAAATTTTAAAGAAAGAAAACTTAATTGCTTTTTGTTGATTCATATTATCCCATTGTGATTAAGAATTAAATTGATTAGTCAATTTATTTTCATATATGATATTGCTCCTTAATATATGTATAGGTAACTAACAAAAAGAAAATCATAGCCTTCAACAAAAACATTCAAATTTTCTGAGCTCCATAAATTAATAGTAAAGTACTACATGCCCTGCTGAATTTGAAGACCAACATCATTCAGGACAAGTAACAGAAAAAATTCAGACTTTGGTTGCAGCATATGTAAAGTTTCCACAACTAACACACCAAATATAGGCAGACAATAAAATTCAGCAAAGAAACATTAGAATGAATTTAATTGAGATAATCAAGGAAATATAAAGATCACTTACAAAATGGATGACAAATGTAATCACTTGAGATAATTCAAAAGGATCCCATGACTAATTGTGAATTCGATTCCAAAACTAAGCGAAACAGTGACAAATATAATTTCAGCAAGGACAACAGTTCTGAGCAACAAGGGTAAGGAGATGCAAGACAATATAAAAGAAAACCGTACTGCTGGATGATTTAGAAAAAGATTTAGTTTTTACACAAAAAGAAATATATTAAATAAAACAATGAAAATAGAAGAAGGCAGGAAATACCGCATACCAGTTCATGATATATACGCAATCGCTCTTTTACCACTGGTTCAGTATCATCAGATCGAGCAATAAGCTTTGATGCACAATGTGAAGGTGGTAGAAGTGGGGCCATAGATAAATCAGGCCTCCCATTTTCACCCTTGATGTTGATATTAGCAATGTTAAAGTTTCCTCCACACTGGCTACAAATCCTCCTCCCAAGGCATTTCTCAAGTAATACATCCTCTCTCAGCTTCAGATTGATCACCAGGTCAATTTCAGTCACTCCATCAAGAATTTCCTAAATATGCAAAAAGCTATATGTGAATGAGCGCAAAAGTCAACAGCGTAAAATCAGGAGTTATAATTGCAATACAATCTTATATGGTGATTTGCATAAACAATGAAACTCATGCGAGAGTGGAAATTCAGATGAACATGTGTGGATAGGTTGATTCTTTATCTCTTCATTGTTCCTTTCTACTTATAGTGAAGATAAATTTGGCAAAATGATAGCAACATATACTACAATAAATAAAATCAGGGATTTGATCATGCATGAATGCGCCCACTTAAGGTCTTAAACAGTGGGCAACAGAAGAAAGAGTCATAAAGAGAGAAGCAAACAAAAGAAAAGCCTAAGGATATGGCTCGAAAGAGTAAACATAAAAACTTCAAGCAAAGCTAGTAAAGCCTCCAATGCAAGGTTACTAACTTGTATTAGGATTATCTCATACATGCTACAACACTTTTTGCATCCTTATCATCAATAAAGTGGCAAGCTTACGATCAATTAGCACTACAATGTTTAAACATAAAGAGAGGAAATGTAAGATGAGATTTTGGTGACCATTTGGCGCAAGTATTATGTAATGCTAAGGTAAGCAAGTCCTTCATATAATTATGTTTCAGGAAGGGTAAATCATACATATCAGAATGATATGGTTAAGAAGTGCTTTAAGTTTAGTCATCATTTTCCACACTAGTTATGTGGACTGTCAACGGATAATTTTAATTGAAGGTTTCAGAAATTAATCAGGTAAACATCTTTCTGATGATGCCCTTCACGGTATCTACCTAAAACAACAAGCATTATATATATATTATTGTGGAGCACATTTATTATTATTATTATTATTTTGGTTCTAATAGCATGGATGACTAAAAATCTAAGTATTTGAGAGAAAATAAGAGACCGCATGGATGTCTTTGGAAATTAAAATGGCTTCTAATCCTATCAAAACTGCAATAATAAATCACAATAAGTGTCCAAAAGAATTTCAAAATATTTCTAAATCCAATTTCTTAATATAAGTTTCTTACTGCTTGTCTTAGCGTCCGCGGAAAACCATCAAGAATGAATCCTGATTCACCCCTAGCTCCTCCCTCTTCAAGGCGCTTTGACAACAGTTTTATAATAATTTCATCTGAAACCAATTTGCCTTGATTGACAATTTCTGCAAGCTACATGAAAAATATAAACCAATACAAATCAATATGACATCAAGAGGAAGCAGTGCCCTGCTTTTAAAGAATATTCTATTTAATATGCAGAAAAGCAATGCAAATCAGTAAAGCCCTGATAAATGATTTCAGCTGGCCCACAATATTATATCATATAGTTTATCAACTAGCCAGAAAATTAACTTACTGCAGAAGAAACATTGCCTATTCAAACTCTAGATTTAATCAAATAAAGATGAATTTGGAAAGCTTTGCCTCCTATCTCTCATTTAAAATCCTCAATATGATTTACAATGTTTTCTCAAGGCACAGTAAATGTCATGCTTTATCGCACTGTCTGTGACGCAAAAACACATACTTAGCCCCAAGAATGTGAACTTGTAATTTTCAAAACATCAAGCATGTGGGTAGAATTTCACAAAATGGAGAGGCTTAAAAAAAAGGTTGCAGGTAAACCATATTTCTTAATCCATAGTGCTCAAAATTTTCACTCAAATAGAGAACAAATAAAACCATAACTTTTTCTTCATCACTTAGCATACCTGGAAGAGACCTCAAGTTCAGCATAATGTGAATGCAAGAAACAAAGTCAAAATAGTATAATTCTTTCTTGGGATCATGACATCTTGATTATAAGACAACTAAAAACGTAATTAAAAAACCATTGGTACAATCAGTATCAGACACTAAAAACATATAATAAATGCCCTTGGTACATCATTGGTATCGGTCCAGAGTGATTTCCTTTCACATAAATCCAAATGAAAAACAAGGAATGAGTTTGCTATTTTCACCACTTATGAGTTAAAGATGTAGCCGGGTGTAGACATGAACTCTTAAAAGTTCTCAAGGAGAAAGGTCAAATCAATGTTCTACAAATTTCTACCAGATCTAAGTATGATTAGAAATGAACAGCGAATAGATTAGTTCAGAAAAGTCCGTCAGGCAAAACTTTTTTCATGTCATTCATTAAGCTATGGTTACAGAGTTGTAGGTCAAATTAGGAGCGGAAAACAACAGAAACGAATCGATATCACATTCAAATTTGTATTTTGATGATTTTCTACTGTTCAAATTTGAATTCGAATTCGGGTCAAATACCTTAATGGCAAGGTTTTAAATGTCGGATGTCGGGTTCATGTCGGATGGCTAAAATCCATGTCGGATAGCGGAAATCGGGGATATATCGGAGGACATAGACTAAATATCGGATTGCCATATCGGGTAGTGCGCATATGTATAATATCATGTCCTAAATGTAATCTAAGCATTCATAAATTCAATATAAGCATATTTTATAAATTCTATAGACTAAACATATAAAAAGGTAAATAATATATGGATTTGGGTTCATAAATTCTTTCTATCGGGTTCATAAGAAACCCTTAAACATGAGAACGAGTCAAACGTGTTTGGGTATTTATCACTAAACCCAAACCGGATAACAAAAAACAGAACTTAAAAAAACGAGTCAAACGTGTTTGGGTATTTATCACTAAACCCAAACCGGATAACAAAAAACAGAACTTAAAAAAAGTACTATATCTGTCGATTTTTCAAAGCTAAAAAATAGGCCGATATGCCTGATATGACCCTGATATTTCCGATTTTGCCCTGAAAACCGACATACGAGTTGAAAACGTTCATGTCGTGTCGGTCAAGCCCTCAAACCGATATGTCGGCCGACATGTCGGACATGTCGGCCGACATTTAAAACCTTGCTTAATGGTGTTCATATTTGATTTGAATAAATAAGAGTTATTCGATAAACATTCGTGAATGTTTGTTAGCCATATGGTTTGGTGCTTCACCTTCTAAGTGATTGGTCCCTAGTTCGAGCCTTATTATGGACACAATTTTGGCTTTTTAATTTGTTTGAGGTTTCTGCATGTACACCACTCAAATTGTATATATTTGTAAAACTTTCCTTCAAAGCATTATAATTATTGGTTTTCGCTCTAAATTGCTTCTTTCACTCAAGTTCACACCTCAATTTGAACAAATTAAAATTTTTGATATATATCTAATCTACAATTAAATAAATATAAAATATTAACGAATATTTAATAATCAAACGAATCAGATATATGTTTGGTTAAATTCTATTCATTTATGAACTGAATACTAAAATTATTCGTTTATTGTTAAATGATCTATAGAACCAAATATGGCCAAATATCTTGACAAATAATAACCTAACTATGTGTTAATTACTGGGTTAATTTTAGAACCCCCCTCTTCAGCTATGGGGGTTGTCTTAGAGAACCCCTCTCAACTATCTTAACCCTACAAACCCCCTCAATTACGGGGTTGGTGGATATAACCCCCTTAACATTCAAAATATAACTATCCCCCTCAACTTTTCTCACTTAACCCCCTAAACTAATATCATTAAATCTAAAGAAACACATATTTAAAATAACCATACTACCCCTAAGAGGTTAAAAAATTTACCATGGTGTTTTTTTTAACTCTTTTGGTTAAAAATAATTCACATTTTATCCCCCTCTTCTGCATCTCCCTCCATATCCATTGCTAAACTTCTTTCATTTTTGTAATTATTCATGTTTCTAATATTTTGAACAATTGATTTTTAAAGAATTGTTTTCTCATGAAAAACCATCGAATTGAAGTCTAGTATTTTAATTGGGTTTGTTTTTTGAACTCACTCACAAGGGTTTCTCTATTAACCAAGGGTATTTTAGTCATTGCATATTTTTGAATTAACAATTAAGGGGTTATTTGAAAAAACTGTAAAGATAAGGGGGTTTTCTAAGACATCTTGTAGTTAAGGGGGGTTTAGTTGTATTTTGAAAGCTGGGGGGTTATCTACAACACCATCAAAATTGAGGGGGTTTTCCTAAAGTTAAAAAATCCTAGAGTTAAAAATGATGAGGGAGGTTTTCTAAGACAACCCCCTAGTTGAGGGGATTTTCTAAAATTAAACCTTAATTATTTGGTTCACTTCCATCCCTAGGTCAAATGCAAGATATAAATGAAATCAAAGAAAAAATTTTAATATGTTAAAGGACATACAAAAACTAACTTTCATGGTGGCTATGTTACCTAGATACTTCTAATATGGACCCGTACCCGACACTTCTTGGACACCTCTAGAATATATGCATATATTTATTCAGACCAATACTCAATTATACATTGCTTGTTTAAATTTAAACAATTGTCATATATTTCTTGGATATCTATCCTGCATTGCACATCCATTTTTGTAATTTGTTGAATAAGGGTCGAGTTTGTTTCATACTTAAGGAGTTATGATTTAAAAGGATCATTTCATTTACATACATAGCTCAGGATTATGATTATGTTACTTATATCTCATCAGTTTTAGTCATGTCCCCATTACCTTTTATAAGTTTGTTGTGTCCTATACCCATACTCATACTCACACACGTACTCGTACCCATGCAACTTAGCATGGTGGATTCATCAAGACCTAGAATGACCTTGCTTATGAGCATGGTTAGCATAGCGTCGTAGGCCTGAAATAAGTCTAAGATTGTAAAGAGAACTAAGTAAACAGAGCAGATGGAAAACAACTTTCTAAAAGCATTTTTTCCTCGAATACATGTCTAGCATCACGATATGAACAAAACTTGTGAAAGATGGAAGGCAGCTGCTAGTTTGATATTTGACAACTTCTTAGTACCAATGTATTAAATATCAGCCGATACATCGCTATATTGACCGATATATCGATTTGATGCCCTTCCGATACGATATTTATGAAAAAATATCGTTTTTAAAATTTTACAACTTTTTCTTGTATATCGGAAATATCGGTCGATATTGGCTAATATTCAAATGAAAAAGGTTAATGAGTGGTCTTGGTTCCCACTAGACCCGAAAACTTAATAAATTTACAAGCCCAAATACCTAAATCTCTAGTCAATCTCATATTTCTCCTCCCTCTTCGTTTGGCACTCAAGCTCAAAAACACTAAGTGATCTCAGATACGAATCTCTCTCCTCTCTCTCCATTCTCTCTTTCTCTTCTCTAATTCTCCTCTCTCTCTCTCTCTCCATTCTCTCTCTCTTCTCCAATTCTCCTCTCTCTCAACTCTCTCAGCTCCTCCTTAGACACCTATGTCTCTCTTCCTCTCTCCTCTCTCTCAACTTCTCTCTCCTTTCTCTCTTCGCCTTCCTCTCTCTTCCCCCTTCGTTCATGTCCTCTCTCTCTATCTGACCTCTACATGTATCTAATATCTCTAAACGTCGTATATCATTATCCATGATGCAATCTCTTATGTTTAGAATACATTAAATATGTTTTGATCACATATTACAATGTTATGTTACATATTACAATATTATGTTACATATGAACATCATCCGATGACATCCCGATATTTTTTTATATCCCCAATATATCTCCGATTTTCGCAATCTGATATGGATTTTGGCCATCCGATATTTCCAATATTTTCGATAGTTAATACATTGCTTAGTACTAGTAGTGACATAGCCGTCATTAGCCAGCAAATGTAGTGACATAGCCCTCATTAGTTTTATAACCTCTTTAGAGCCAATGACATAGAACATGATGACTTACTTTGATGATCAGACAATAAACCAAATGTCCTCAGTACTGTCCAAATGAAAAAAAAATGATAAGAATTTGCAGGCATTACTTAATGAAATAAGAAGAACCTATGATGTTTCACGTGATGCAAAATGGCTATAACTTTACTCACGAACATCACAACGGAAGAGTAAAATCAGCACAAGTTGATAACAACAATTATTAGACAATTGTGATATTATGAACATAATAAAATTATGGATGGCTAAAGAGGAGAGATTCTGGAGCACCCACTCATCACTCACTGAGATGATCATGATGTTGGAGGGAAAATTTTATTAATATGAGAAGTGCTTTATGGATTCAAATGTTAAAGAAGTAAGCATGAATATGTCCCCCAAAAAAGAGTATTTAAAATGAGAATGTTAAAATTAATTAGTGGCAATTCAATAAACATAGGACTGAGAAATCATGGGACTCATAAAAAGTTAGGGGTAACTCAACTTGTGAATAAGAGGAAAATTCGCCCGAGATGAACGGGTGGAAAAGCTTGCGGTAGAGGGACCAAAATGAACATGAATTTAGGCAAATAAAATTAACAAAAGGGTGGCCCTTCAAGAGTTACATGGAGAAAAGGGATTAATATAGCGGGCCTCAAAATTATCAAACAAAGTTTTTTTAATGTTCTTCCTGCCAAAAAAAAGAAAAAAGAAAAAGAATTTTATGTGCATTAATAGTCATAGTAACATAAAAAATAGTAGAACATTCTTATTTACACAAAGTAACATGCAATGCAGCTGTATAGAAGTTAAATAACTAATCTAGACTACAATATGAAGATAATTATGAGGAAAAACAAGTTTGGAGGAATCATTGAAATATCCTCATTTTCTTAACTTTGTTTTTAGGTTATTTTTAGTTTGTTTACAGGTAAAGTGGTAACTATTATTATATAAAGAAAATTGTGAGGGTAAATAAGTTTGGAGTTTGGAGTTTGGAGGAATCCTTGAAAATCCATACTTTTCTTCACTTTGCTTTAAGGTCATTTTTAGTTTGTTTAGGGGTAAAGTGGTAATTGTCGAAGAACAGACATTTCTCCTCATCTCTCTATAAATTTATATAGTCAAAACTACAAATAATAACTTAATATTAGAGCCTATAAAAACGAAAAAGCAATGGACTCAAAACACTTTACTTTTATTAATAAATCTCAAAATATAAATTAAAATGAAGTTGTTACAGGTGAAGAAGAATTGTGTAAAATGGACATAAAAAACTTTATATTAAGATAATTGATAATTCGAATAGTGTAGAAAAGAGAAAATAAAAATACAAAACTATAGCAATAAAAAATCCTCTTTGCCACATAAATGAGTAAAACAAATAAAGACTATTGCAGTATTTAGGGTAAATAGATATTAAACATAAAATCTATTGAAACTTTTAGGGTATTAAAATGGAAATAAACCCTCTTAATATAAAATTAGGGTAAATAAGTTTTATTGTCTATTTCACGTGCATTTGTACATTTGGTGTTGCTAGTGAATCATAAAGAACACAGAAGCACATAACAACATGAATACTTATTAGCCTCGTCTAGCGCATACTATCCAATCTAAATCTTCGTAAGCTAATATTAGATTAAACAGTGAACTATGACCATATAGTAAAAAGGCTCCTTTAACAAATTGAGCTAAGTCTTCCAATCTAGCTATTCAGATCACTTTATCTCAGTGCCAATTTCATGACAAAGCGGCGATTAAATATACCAAATATAGCCACTGATACACTAAACATATACACTTACAAACCTAGCCACTGATGCACCAGTTATTGCAACTTACATATCTGTATATCAACTGAAATAGAAAGTGGGCTTAGAAATATTTCGTTTGGGTGTAAAAATGATTTTGTAAATAGGTATAGCATAAAACAGCTTATTTGCACTTCAACAGCCAAGTTTCGCCCTTCTATAAATTTGATACCCTTAAATTCTATTTTTACAATTTGAAGCCTTAAAATTTTAAAATTAAAGTTAATTTGACAAGTTGATACCTCAAAGTCCTAGCCTTGTTACCTTCCTCTAAACTCAAAGAGCTAAAACTTGGTAAGGAAACTGTTCTTCATACACTTTTCTATTCTTGGACAAAATTAACGTCCAACTTACTTGCACTTTGGGTCATCAAATTCTCAAAACAGAACTTTGGGGCTAAGCCTTTGAAACTAGAATGAGCTAAAAGCTTGGGTTTAGAAACAAGAGTGAAACTCCTAAATTTATCGAAGATGCAACATCCCCTTCCTTCTTCACTCTCAAATCCAAACCTTCAACACAAAAAACACCCCCAATATCAAATATTTATCCCCACACAATCAACCTTGTACCTGTTTCGAGAGAGGACCAGAAGAATTGAGCTCTTCGCGAACGAGATCACCAGTGGCAATATGAGGAACTCCGAGAAGACTCGAGAGCCTGCTCGCATAAGTCCCCTTTCCAACGCCTGGACACCCCAAGAACACCCACTGCACGTTCCTCTCCGCCGCCGCCGTGCGGCCAGTGGTCGCCGGAAAGCTCGGGTCTTTAATGGAAGAAGACAGCGAGGAGAAGGTCAGCGCCGGAGATCTAGCGGCGACGGCGGATCTGATGAGGCGGTTGAGGACCGCCATCGAAAAGCAGGGGATCTTGCCTGAAGTTTTTCTATGGAGATGTTTTTGATAGAGGGATTTTTGAGGGGAGAGAGGGTAAAGTGCACGTTGAAAGAACGCGGTGATTTCGCGGGAGAGGCGTCACGGCGGTGGCAGAAAGTGACGGCCATTAAGGGCGAGGGGAATTGGGTCCACCCACGTGCTTGAATCTTGTGTCAATTATTTAAGGCTAAGGCACTGTTTGGCAACAAAAAAAAAAAAGTGTCTTCTCTAAGAGCTTGTGTCTTATTGACTTGGTCAATAAGCTAGTAGAGCTGTTTGGTGACCAAAAATAGAAGGAGATTATTTTAGAGATTGTGTCTTTTGCAAGTAGCTTTTGAAAAGCTACCTCAAGTAGCTTTTGTCTTTGGGAAGGAGCTGCCAATTTTTGTCTTCCGTTTTTGCCCCTAATAATTCTAATTTTATATCAATAATATTACATGTCTTTTTTAGTCATTTAACAAACTTAAGCTAGTTGTACAGCTACTTTTGCCAAACAGCTCTAGTCAATCAGCTAGCTACACAGCTAACAGCTTTCAGCTACAATTTCACAGCTTTCAGCTAGCTTAACAGCTTTCAGCTATAATCTCGCAGCTTTCAGCTAGTTTTGCCAAACAGAGCCTAAATATCAGAAAACCCCTTTTAACTTTTAACTCCCTGGATGGTTATAAGATAATCTCCAATTACTTCTAGAATATCACAACCCCTCGTTCCTTTTGAGAACGTTCGAACTATAAATGTGGTTGCAACATCATGAGTAAGTGTGGTTTGATACAGTTGGATCCATATGTTGTTCCACCTATATTTATGAGTTATTGGTTGGTTATACTTACAATACGAAAAATAGTATTGCAACATCCAAGTATGATGCGTATTGTTGTAATAATATTTTAGTTGTTGCGTATTGTTGCAACGTCCAGGTGAGCTGCGTATTGTTGCAACATCTAAGTATGCTAAAAATGAGGTTGTTACAGTCACCCTCAAATTTTAAAGTGTTACAACAATATTTTAGCTGCTACTACTTGCGGGTTCAACTATATTTTTCACAACAACCTTTAACCAAAGACACTAGGGGTTATTAGAAACCCCCCACTAAAAGTGGTAACCGTCAATTTTTACTAGAAGAACATCCATCGGCATAATTTTATCAATCGATATGAAAAATTGCAGTTAACATTATTAGGGTAGTTTTTTTAAATTAATAAAGTCTTAAACTTAAAGATGATTTACTAGTAAGCTTTAAACATAAGGGGTTTCCTGATATTTTAAAAGTTAAGGAGGTTATTTGGTAATCATCCAAAGTCAAAGAGGGTTTTCTAATATTTAGTCAATATTTAAAACTTTAATTGTGCACTTAAATGCCCTATATTCTCTCATACTTAGCACTTATTTACCATACTTCTCTATGGCATCACTTAAGTAGTCTAAAGTTTGTGAAAATTTGCATGAAACCACTCTCAGATATGTAAACGTGATAATTTCTCCCGAAAATTATTATTTAACACTTACATGCTAATTATAGAACTCTTTAACTCTAAATTTTAATAAAATTTATTTTTAAAACTACCATAGTTCTGCTTTAAATCCACCATAATCCTTTTGAGATAGGATTTTGATGGTTCTAATATGAAATTTAGCAAATATTAAGAGTGAAAATGTTATGAAGCATGCAGATATCACATAAGAATGAAGTTTTGGATATTAGGATGCCTGAGAATACTTAAGTGCAAATTTATATAGTTTTTTTTAACAAATAGATCTTTTGAGAGTAAATGAGTGAAAAAGGTTTCAATCGAAGAACCTCTGTGCAACACTTACAGAACTATAGAGAGTATATCTGCAATCAAATGCCAATAGAGAGCAAGGGTGGAATTAGTTTCAAGTGTTGCAGTACAGTTGCTTTCATATAATTTTCAAAATTACATACAAGTCCTTGTGATATTTGTAATTTGCCCACTATAAATTTTAAAGATTGCAACATCAATTTGTGTAAAAATATTGAATAAGTTTATAGCAAGTTGGATTAACACATTTAAAATATTGCTAGTAACACCTAGCGCTAGCTAATACGAACCCTCAATTATCATCGGCTTGAGTACACCATAAAATAAATTTGAAACAAACCACCAAACACAGTTTAAGCATGGCAAATAAGAAAGATCTTGTGTGAATGATGAAACCAAGGGTAACTCTTCTCACCGAATTGATCAGAAGATGATGAGTGTGACGAGAAAGAGTTTGTTAGGCCTCCGGGGGTTTAAAACTCCAATTTAATTTTCTTCAAACAAACCCTAACATTTTTTATCTTCAAGCTCTCTTCAGAACCCTAGAATCCTCTCCTTCAAATTTATCTCTTATAATCTTATATAGCATCAAATTAATCAGGAAAGAGAGATTTTAATCATAGTAAAAGTTAAAGATGCAAGGGATCAATGAATGATTGTGATTATATCATCAAATTTATAATAAGTTGTCTTAATCATCGATGGGCCTTCACCACTATCGATGGATCCTTTAGCACTATTGATAGGTGCATGTAAATCATCAATAGGTTGAATTCCTATTTCTAGAAATCTGTAATTTATTCCTGTAAACCATTAATGACCTCAACCTCATCCATGGGTTCCTGACGACCATTGATGGGCCTAAGGTTAAAATCAGCTTTAGTGCTGATTTTCGCGTTGTTTTGCTTTGTACACTTCGTATACCTGTTTTTACTTATACTATATCATCTTAAACACATATTTGTACAAAACGACAGTTTGTTATTACTTAAGAACGAGTTATTGTACAGACTACATCCTAGCAATCTTTCCCTTTTATTAATAACAAAATTAAAATTTAAAATACTTGAATATACATAATTGAGAGATATATAAAATGATAATAAGCACAAATATTTTTTATACAAAAGTGAAAGATATGCAACAGTCCCCCTACATTCATGTATTCATGAAAAGTGTAATCAAGCATAGTGTGACGCCCCTGCTTTCACACATGGCTGCAATCCATGGTGAATCCAGAGATGTCAAACCTGCCATGCACCCACACTATTCAGCAACAAGTTTTACCAATCATAACAATATCCTCTAGTGGAATCAAAACAAGGTGCAAGTACAAAACATGTAAAAGAAAGGAAGTAACTGCAACAGACATGATATAGAAAGGAGTATCTCATAAATAAATCTTGTCTCAATGAACAACCTGTAATACATATGATATCTAAAATAAATAAATACACTGTAGGCATTCAAAAATGCCAAATTCCAAAATATGAGAAGGGTGGTCAGGAAAATGAACTTCGGCTCAATCAGAGACGAGGCTTGTCGTTTAGTGAAGATCAACCTCAAGAACAAGAGTCGCCATGCAGCGAAGCTCAACATCAAAAGACAAAGCTCATTATTGAATAAAACTGATCTTGAGACTTGAATCTCGTCATTGGATACGAGGTTCGAGGTTCACTAGTGGATACAGGGTTTGGAGCTCGTCATTGGACACGAGGTTCAAAGTTCATTACCAGGCGTAGAGCTCATTAGTGAAGATGAGGTTCGTCAAAAGGAAACTTACAAGACTTGCTACGTAGTTGGATTTGGCTGACGAAGATGAAGTTCGTTAGTTAAGACGAGGGTCGTCAGACGAAGTTAGTGAAGACAAGATTCGTCAGAAGAATCTGGTTTACTATAAAGTTTGCTTGGTAAGACGAACCTCACTGTGTATCGAGGCTCGTCTTACTTGACGAACCCCGTTTCAATTAAAGATGAGGTTCATCATCCACGTGAGATTTATCTGTAACGGCTCCGAAGACTTAGTCAACTATGTGGGCTAATCTTCAGGAGCACGTTACGGCGTGTGCTGATTTGGAGGAGGAAGTTACGCCCCTCTATCCGTGATTGTAGCACGTCAGTTATGTGTTTAAACCCTATAAATAGCCATGGATGGCTACATAGATAGGGGTTGGATATTTTAAACTTGGACTTCAAGAAGCATCAGAGATCAAAGTTTTTGCACATGGATCCGGAGTTCGAACCTCGATTCCAACCGGTCAACGAACGTGAGAAGCTTTAGTGATCTTGGTCTGATCGTCAACGAGAGGCAATCTTGACTCGAGTATCGAGGGCAACATCATTTCTCTACTAAGAACCCACCTTAAACAAAAGAGAAGCTGAATTAATCTTCTGTTCATCTGTAATCGAGAGAGTATGAGTGATTGTAAGGGTTTCGTACCAAGCGATCGAACCCATTTCTTAAAATAAGAGAATCAATCAATCTTCAATTTTTCGACCTTACAGACGATGGCGAACACAATGGGAGCATCCATTCTTTCCGATGAGATGGTGGTAGTGCAATCAGATAAGATCGCTGTGGGAACGGACGCCAAGACTTTGATCATTGAATTTGACCAGTCCAAGTATGAGGATTTTCTCTCTTCTGGTAACTCTAGTCCCACGAAGACACGTAAGTGTCGTCGAGTCTTGTATGAGACTTCAGCCTAAGTGGCTTCTGATGATTCAACTCGAGTTAACCTCGAGGATAAGTCTATGCCCCTCAAAGAGGAGGCTCCAGCAACTAGCCGACAGGCTAAGAAATAGGTTGTCAAGCAATCTAGCCGAACTTCGGCTTCTACCAGCCAAACTATATCTTTTGATAACGAACCTTGCCCAGCTCCGGTTGAAGCAAAGGTTCCCACTGGTTCACTTTCGAGACACACTCGATAACGTCAGTGCCAGAATCAAGCTTACCGTAGGGCTCGAGCTTTGGTCTCGCTAGACGGTTTTCATTATCAACCGAGGGTTGATCAGCCTAAGGTCAACAAGTGTAACGAGGGTCAGGTGAATGAGGAACATATGAAAGACGGACCTCATCCTCGTACTCGAGTAGGCTCAGACAACGAACCTTAGGTTATGAACCAACTGAGAAGGCACAAGCGTCAAGCTCGCCCTACCAACGAATGTCGTCGCATGAATGACGGAGTTCGTCAGTCTACCCAAGTTCGTCAGCCTCTACCTCTCAGAGGGTCTCACTCGGGTAAAGCCAAGATGACGGAGTCAACTGGGGGTTATCCAGCTGGTGACCTTTGAGATTATCTTACGCGCAAGCGCAACATGAGCCAA